CTCTGGTCTTGTGACTATGGAGGTCATTTAAGTACAGTGAACTCATTGTCATGTTCAAGAAACCAGTCTGAGATGATTCACGCATTATCCTGCTAGAAGTAGCCATTAGAACATCGGTACACTGTGGTCATAAACGGATGGACATGTATACAATATATAGGCTATTGCATTGACACGATGTTTAATTGGTACTAATAGGCCCAAAGTGTGCCAAGAAAATGTCCCCCAAAGCATTAAACCACCACCACCAGCCTGAACCATTGATAAAAGACCGGATGGATCCATGATTTCATGTTGTCTTCTATCTTCTATTGTCCAATTTTGGTGAGCCTGTATGAATTGTAGCCTTAGTGTCCTGTTCTTAGCTGACAGGAGTGGCCCCTGGTGTGGTTTTCTATTGCTGTAGACCTTCTGCCTTAAGTTTGTTCGTGTTGTGCATTCAGAGATGCTCTTCTGCATACCTTGGTTGTAACGAATGGTTATTTGAGTTACTGTTGCCTTTCTATCAGCTCAAACCTGGCCATTCTCTTCTGACCTCTGGCATCAACAAGGCATCTGTGCCCACAGAACAGCCGCTCACAGGATATTTTCTCTTTTTCAGACCATTGCCTGTAAACCCTAGAGATAGTAGTGTATGAAAATCCCAGTAGATCAGCAGTTTCTGAAATACTCAGACTAGCCCATCTGGCACCAACAACCATGTCACGTTCAAAGTCACTTGAATCCCCTTTCATTCCCATTCTGATGCTCAGTTTGAATTGCAGCAGATCATATTGACCATGTCTACATGCCTAAATGCATTGAGTTGGTGCCATGTGATTGGCTGATTAGACATTTGCATTAATGAGCAATTGGACAGGTGTACGTAATAAAGTGGCTGTTTATTAAACTGTGGTCACACTAGAGTTTGAGCTTGCGAAATTCTGTAGGACGGCGCAGGATTAAACAAGATGATTAGACATTTAAAAAAGCGTGCGATTGGTCCATATTTAATTTTTTTGTCCAGAGAGGTCATGTTTGGATCCTCGTTTGGTCTCACGCAGTCAAGTGATGCGATTTCGCAGGTCAGAGTTCACCAAGCTTCAACTTTGCCACACAGCGAACTGCGAAACTTGTCACATGAGGTTGCGTTTCCGTTCTGACGCATTCGTGTGCATATGAATGGTAGTCTAAGGGGAGAAAAGTGTAGTGTGACCGCAGCTTTGGGGTAAGTTTAAATAAACAAATAAATTTCACAGAAGGGCTAATCATTTTGCTTTCAACAGTTTGTATAAAATGAAGATCACAGTGGAAGTAGAGTTATTTTAAATATCAACTAAGGATTTAAACAACAACACTTTTACTCATGTGATGTTGCTTAATAAAGACGTTGGACTGATGTATAATACAGCGACAGAAACAGTGTAGTCAAAGCTCTGCCGCTGCTGCTGACTCAGGGGTCTGAGTAATAGCTGCCCTCTTGATGAATAGCTTCATCTAAAAGGGTTTTATCTTGGGAATACATACAGGAACAATCTACACATGCACATTACACAAAACCAACCCTTTTATGAAGACTTGTTACCATGCCTACCAATCTCTGTTCGGCATATATAAACTGAAAATGAATGCTGATGAATGAGGACTTCAGAAATCTTTTGACTCACATTAATGGTCAAAACTTAGGACTGTAAATGTAAAGATGGACCACATCCACTATAAATGGAGAAAGTTCAACTTGTCAATTAGCCTATCCTTTATGTAAAAAAAGCCAGTCATTAAATGGTAAAAGTCATTGCATCAAAAGCCCGTTTTTACCTTTATATGAGGCCTGGAAGACTCAGTAGGCCTTTCACTCAATGTTGCACTTATCAATATAGCTATAGTTTGGCCTTACAATGACAACGTATCTTACATAAAATGTGGTGTTATTTACATGATGAATAAATACTTCAAATAGGATTCATTTTATAAGGTTGAAGATGAAGTAAAACTCTTACTGTAGCTTTTAACATTCACAAGTAAAATGAAAAAATAAAATTATCTGATGATAGCTAATGCACCTCTGTTAATAATTGGCATAAACCTATTCCTAACCATATATTAACCATGGTATTTGTATTGAAGCATACAACTGGCTTTGAGTAAGTGATTTAGGTTTCTGTTGAGATTAATTCCTAACGCTTTTATCACAATGTACAGTATTACCACAATATGACCTATAAGCTGCAAAGTTACTAGGTAATAACAACAAAAAAGAGGTTATGCTTTATTGTATCTAAATGCTCAGAATAAACAAATGTTTTAAGGAAATTAAATTCAAAAAGAGGGCAGCGTGATGGCGCAGTGGGTAGCACAATCACCTCAAATTGTCTGTAGTGTATGTGTGTGAATGAGTATGTTTGGATGTTTCCCGGTGATGGGTTGCAGCTGGAAGGGCCTCTGCTGCGTAACCCCAGATTGATAAAGGGACTAAGCTGAAAAAAAAACGAATGAATGAAATTTAAAAAGAATGATAAATTACAAAAGGTAACAATTTACAATAATCTCATTAGTAAATAAGTTATCTATTAAAATCAACAGTGAGAAATCCCATGTTATAGTTATGTTAAAGTTAATAAAAATACATTTGAATTTGATTGGACCAATTATTCATTCATTGATTCATTTTCTTTTCGACTTATTCCCTTAATTAATCTAAGACCGCCACAGCCGAATGAACCACCAACTTATCCAGCACATTTTACGCAACGGATGCCCTTCCAACTGCAACCCATCTCTGGGAAACATCAATACACACTCATTCACACTCACGCTACGGGCAATTTAGCTTCCTAATTCACCTGTACCGCATGTCTTTGGACTGGGAGGAAACCAGAGCACCCGGAGGAAACCTGCGCGAACGCAGGGAGAATATGCAAACTCCACACAGAAATGCCAACTTACTTACAGCTTTCAAGATTATCTATCATCTTGGCTGGCCTATAAACAGTGTTGCTTTAACTTCACTTGGCCCACAGAAAGAAAAGGCTCAAGTTTCATCTCACCAGGCTCCAATTCTTTCTATAATTTCCAGGTCATGACATGGCTTCTAGCAATCTCCAGGAATGACTTGCGTTGACTCTTCTTATGAATGATTTCCTTCAAGCCATCTTCTTAAAGAGGCTAAAATCTTTGAGGTGCAAAAGAGACTGGTTAATTGTGAACAGTTTATTCAAAGCTCTCAACACCTTTGTTGCTTTACGTTTGGCTTTACTTCACTGCTATTTTAGTGCAGTTGCAAAGATACTGTTGTAAGCTTTCAAGCATTCACTAACCTACAACTCCTCTAACGTAATGTTAGACATATTTAGAAGTATGAGTAGAACCTCACTCCACTGACCTCTAAAGGTGCTCTGAGGGCATGGTCTTTAGTCTTCTTGGTAGAGCAACCGACTCCCATGTGGAAGGTCGCATGGTTCAATACCAGCTCGGAGCAGGTTGGGTGGTGTAAGACCGGAGAGGTTATAGTGCCGTGACCCGGGTGGGAGTGAGGTTTAAGGGGGTGAGTGTAACAGAGGCCAGCTAGTAAGTGCTATGCATGTAAACCTCACTCCTCTAAAAGTGCTCTAGTGACAGACGATGGTTATATATATAAATTATATATAGCCTATATAACCCACCAGTACTACACCACCCAACCTGCTCCAAGCTGGTATCGAACTGGCAGTTCCGCATGGGATTCAGTTGCTCTACTAAAGAGACTATGGCCTCTAGTGCCTGACACTAGAGCACTTTCAGAGGAGTGAAGTTTATTTTTCCAAAATACGTGCCAAAATGTGTTTGACATGGCCGATGTTATTTCAGTATACACTGACCTTTACTCCTAATTTCAGACTTCACTCGTGTGTCCACATTTTTCTTTGTGTTTGAGTGATGTGAGCCATAAATAACACTTAATCCAGTGACAGAGCAGTGGGCTTCTTTGCCCTCCACGTATATTGTGTGATATCCTGACACCTTGTGGTCAAGCTTGGCACTGACACTTTTACTTATATATATATATATATATATATATATATATATATATATATATATATTGTAGTTAAAGTTGTGAAATAACAAATTACTATTTGGATATTTACATGTACATAAATTTCTATATCAATTTTATCTTTATATAATAAGCAGGTTTATGGAATAAAACAATGTCAAAGTTACGCAAAAAAATAAAAGCAACTCGGTTCAAAATGAGAATTTAAATGTAGAATGTGTCATATTTTTCAGTCACCTTTAAGCAGATAGAAAGATACAATACATTCAACCAGCAAATAAAAAGATTAAAAGCATGTAGTAAAAACAGGCCCGTAGCCAGGGTGGGGGTTCGGGTGGTTCTAAAGACCTAAGTACCCCAGAAACTGCCATTGGTCCAGAACATTTGCCACTATTCTCTTATTTGACCTAGAAAAATATCGTTAAGCTGTTATTTTAATGTGTTTATTATAAATCTTTATGAAATATTTTGGTATCAAAAATTGAGGATACAACAAGGCTGTCTACGGGCCTGAATAACAAATGAATGAACTGATTAACCAACGTTGCAAGGCTACGTCACTAAGTTTGATCAAAACGGCGGATGGATATGATGTTTTGTTGGTAGTGTGAGCTCTAGATCCTGCTCTGCTTCATGATTTTTGAGTGCGAACAGGACTGCTGCAAAAGTGCCTTTTACTAATAAGGGCTACACAAACAGACCTCTATTAAGTGAATCACACGTATTGTTAACTTGAAAGCGCATATAAAATTATTATAAAACTAAAAAGATGAAGGAAATGTTGAAAGTATGTAAAATTAAACATTTATAAAGTACGGTTGGCTTGCCAACATTACAAATCAGCAACTGCTACAGAAAGTATTTTACTTTCAATTAGACAAAATCTGCAGGATAAGAACTATTTTTTAGGAATCTCTTTTGGCGGAAGGATACAGTTCTTCAGCGCGACGCACGAACAGGTGTATGACGCAAAACACTCGGGTCTGTGGAACTGTTCACCATCACAAAAATCCGAGTTACAACTACACATCCCATAAAGACATCATATCCGAAAAAACATATGCGTTATTGTACCACGATGTACAACTGTTCAGCAAGGAGATTCAACATGACGTAAGGTAAGAAGATAAAACAGTTTTTGCTTGCTAGCTCGGCGGCTAACCTTATAGTAGCGGCAAGTGCATTGATTAACGTTACTGATGCTTGGATGGCTTTAGCCAGAGACTGTTGAGTGTCACGGGCTAATGACGGCTTTATATTTTAGTGTAGAATTTTTACATCTTGTTTAACGTTAGATGCGTTTTACTCAGTAACGGTATCATATATGAAAACGACACACAGATCTGAATGACCTCTCGGCGGCAGTTTAAGCGAATAAAATGATAATGTTATGTTATGTCCGGTTGATGTAATAACGTTAGCAGTTTTCGCACGAAGTAGGATTATACCAAGTAATAATCATATATAATTCTAATTTATTTTTGTGCTGGTGTCTTTAACTCGTGTATTGAAGTTTGCTCGACTGACAGCAGCAGTATTTTAGACTCTGCTACTTGAACCGTTCATTAGTACGTGTATGTGACGTTACCTACGCCTGTATTTTGATGTCGCAGTGATGATGAGTTTGTTAGTGAGTTTCATTAGATTTAGTATCCCTGAGCCCTTTACTGGTTATCGGTCCGTTATTCTGATTCATCGTGAATGGGAGGTGTGCGCAAACTCATTGTAGATGCCATATGGTAAATGACTCGTCCTGACATTATTTGCTTATTTAAAGGTCTCCAGCAACTGTAAAACACGGATGTTGCCATCCTGGGCATTTTATTTCTTTTGTAGATCACAAAAATGGTGGCAGGTAGAACGTTATGCACTGTACGAGTTTAGCCACCATTTCAGTTTGTTGTCTTTTTACCATTACATAAAAGTGAATGGTATCATTGTAAATAGTATCTTGTGTTCCACACAAAAAAGTCACAGAATGACAACTCGTTTTTCAGTCTTTGTGAACTGTGTTTCATTTCATTATTTTAAACTTGTACACTTTTCTGAATAATAATTCATCATCATTGACATTTCTTAGGTAATACAGTTGATGGTGCTGTAAGTATTGATTGTCTCAAAGCTGAGCATCAATTTATTGGTTTGGTTTGCTTTGATTTCCTTTTTAGGAATCGAGTACAACATTTGGGTTCCTGATGTAAAAGTCCCTTTCATCATGTTCCAATACCCACACTTCCTGTCTTGAGCATTTTCACTTGCCATCTAATGACAAATTTCCTGTTTGGTCCAAATGTTCAAGTAGAAGTAAAGACCACAAGTGGGTGTAAAACTTTAATTTATCAATGAGGGATACTTACAGAGTATTTGCAGAGCTTTATCTACACAGTTTCAGTTAGACTCTACACTTCAGTTCAGTAGTTATGGCAATTTAATTGCGATGCTTTTTTGTTAAGAGATAAAACCAGTTCCAAACATCTGACAAAATACCAACCAAAACTGTATATTTGAAAAATGAGGTGACGTCAACACTTTTATCTTAGTATTTTTTTCAGCACAGTGAAGTTTCTGGTGAAAAACAACATTATTATTGCTTTGTAAAGAATAGATTTCTTCCTGTAATGTAGAAAACATGGACAGAATCACTGAATTCATTCATTGAGAATAGAATTAACTGAATAGTGAAAAATGTCTCAAACTTTGACTGTTATGGATAAATAATTAACATTTGTTCCTCTGTGTTTTCATTTTAACAAGAATAAAAAAATTGATAAAAGTAATATTTGTTTTATTGGATATGCTGTTTTAAGTTTATCTAGCATTAAAATTGTCTAAATATATATTAGAGAACTGGAAAAAACATGTATTTCATAGAGCACTGCCTGTATGTGCAATGCTTCATGGGTTTATTATCATTTTTCATTAAAGCTGTTAAGTACACAGTCTTGTACCATTATCCTTTTTTTCTTATAGTGTAATGCATGTTAGCTTTAAGTCAAAGTCAGTAATGTTGTGACTCACCTCATAGCTGTCTGTATTTATTTCAGTGCTTAACAATCGTAAAGAATTTTTGTTTACATTTGCATGGGGAGAATTAAAAAAAAGCTGTGCATACTATGTGCACCTTATTAAGATGTTAAACATAGAATATGCTTCTTGTTACAACGGCATATTGTTTTAAACTTGGATAAGTGCTGTGTGCTAACAGAGTATTTTTGTGTTTGAAACTGGCACTCCTTTGACATATGCATAGTGTAGCTGTAAGGTTAGTCTGTTTGTTTACTGTGGTTCACGCCTTCTTTAAGCACAGGGCAGGCCAGGAGATCCTGCAGAGATCAATAGGAGCCTGATCACCTCAGTGCATTATGTGTAGAGCTGCGATATAGAAAAAGTAGCCTAATTAAAGCTCAGCCAACCTAACCAGGAAAAATACTCCTGTCTCACATCAGCCCCACCTCCATCTTTCCTTCCTCCAGTTTTTTCCAGTCACAACACACAGTGAGTCATGTAGCACACACTGCCCTCCCATCCCTCCCTCTGTTCCCCCTGTCCTGCTGTCGTCAGAGCTCTGCCACGTGCCTCCTCCTCACTCAGCTCATAGCATGAATGTTCTTCGGTTGGCAGGCCTTTCTTTCAATCACAGTCTCACACACATGTGTAATTTCTTTAACGAGATACTTTTATATATTTTTATGATTTTTTTTAAATAATTTTTTTCTCTCCAGTATTTTTGTATTTTGTTTTCTTTTTTCATCTTTAATTAATAATTAATAATTAACTCTGAAACACACACCACTTCACAGCCATTCCAGAAATTCATTAAAATTATATTTTAAAAATGAAAAACTTCACTGGATGCTGCATTGGTCGTAATATGATGCTGTACTCTGTCGCATCACTTTTAAAAACACAATTCGACTTATAATAGAGGGAAGATGTTAAAATAAGGAGATTTGTTCCACTTTAATGTAACAGTGAAACTATGCTGCTGATTTATTATTTGCATCCTTTTAATTCAGCTGGAAGGCCATGTCATGCCATATCAGTCTTTAATAGGTCACACGTCTTCACATGATACAAATTCACAGGTCAGAGTTCTCGTATTTGCATATATATGAATGAAAGTCAGTGGAAAGAGAATTTTTATGTGACTGAGCCAAAGTCATTTTGGTCTCCCAGGCTGGCCAGGTGGATGTTTTAAAATGGGTTTGGGCACTTTTACTTGAGGTATCAGCTTGTTCCAGGACTCAGGAGTGTTTTTTTTATTATTATTATTTGTTTAAAAAATGTTTCTAGCTGTCCTTGTTTACTTTTTGACTAATATGGCATCTTTAATAATATTTACCATTGTGTGTGCACTACAGTTACTCATATTTGTTTGTGTAAATGCGTGCTTTGTTGCAGGGAAGTTTTCTTTTAAAAACAATAGATTGTCTAATCTCATTTTTGTTTTTGTTTTTCTATTAATAACCATAAACTAATCTTCTCAGATCATTCTATACACCATACATTCATAAATGTATAGGGGCTTTTTATTTTTTAATGCTATAGCTATTTAAACTAACCAAGAATACATTGTATGTTATTACACTCACCTGCCAATTTATTAAGTACACTTTACTAGTACCGCATTGGACCCCTTTTGCTTTCAGAACTGCCTTAATCCTTTGTGGCATAGATTCAATGGGGTATTGGAAAATTCCTCAGTGGTTTTGGTCCACATTGACATGATAGCATCACGCAGTTTCTGCAGATTTGTCGGCTGCACAACCATGATGTGGATATTTCGTTCCACCACATCCCAAAGGTGCTCTATTGGATTGAGATCTGGTGGCGGTGGAGGCCATTTGAGTACAGCAAACTCCTTGTCATATTCAAGAAACCAGTCTGAGATAATATGCGATGACATGGCGTGTTATCCTGCTGGATGTAGTTATCAGAAGATGGGTACACTAGTCAGGTAGGCTGTGGGATTGACACAATGCTTAATTGGTGCTAATGAGCCCAAATATTCCCAACACCACTGCATCACCACCACCAGCCTGAAACTTGATACTGTTGCCCTATTATCAGCCGAACCAGTCTGGCCATTCTCCTCTGGCATAAAGAAGGCATTTGCGCTCACAGAACTGCCGCTCACTGGATATTTTCTCTTTTTCGGTACATTCTCTGTACACCCTAGAGATTGTGTGTGTGTGAAAATCCCAGTGGATCAGCAGTTTCTAAAATACTCAGACCAACAACCATGCCAACCAACTGCAGCCGATCGTCTTGACCATGTCTACATGCCTAAATGCAATGAGTTGCTGCCATGTGATTGGCTGATAAGAAATGTGCATTACCAAGCAGTTGGACAGGTGTACCTAATAAAGTGGCCGGTGAGTGTATATTACAAAGTTGTTAGTTGCTTGTTTATAATTATTAATAACCTGATAAACAATCTGAGGTGTGTAATTATTTTCAGCCCATAGCTAAAGTAGTTTTCAGTCAGATCTTGACCATTGCAGTTTCATATATCTATATACTCCATTCTAAGTCTTTGACTGAGCATGCAAACATTTTTCTAATGCTGCAATACTTGCAATATAATAACTTTCTTTCACATTTTTTAATGATACATTTTGACATGGGTATAGTAGTAGAATCTTATTATCTTAAAAAAAAAAAAAAGTATTCTTTGGGCTTAATATGTGGGCACAGCTTTACGTGATATGAATTCGCAGGTGAATGAAATGCTAATTTTTTTGTGACAGCCTCTTTACCCTGGTGTCGTTGTCATGACAACATTGCAGTGATGATTCTACCTGTTTTTAAAATGGTCCATTTTATTTTCATTAGCAGCAAAGTAGTCCAGACTCAGAGAATTAGGCTTTTCCCGAAAGTATTGGACTTTGTAACCTGCTGTTAATGGATTTTATAAGATATTATAAGTCTTTCTCAGAGTGTCTTCAGGGAGTGCTGACTCTTCTCATTGCTAATGCTGTGACTGTTGCTGTGGGGTCTGTTGCTATAGGGAAGAAACTAGCGCTGGTGTTCACAGCTTGAGAAGGAGTGTCATTGTTAGTAAGTGTTTGTTTATGATGGAAACTCGTACAGAGAGCAAGCAGCTGATGGATGACAT